TATATTTTTCCAAAAAAAAAAAAAATGAAGTGGCTGGCATTGTATTAAAATGAGCAAAGCCGCTCTCTGTGATGCTGGCATCCCATGTGGGCGCCTGTTCATGTCCTGGCTGTTCCACTTCCAATCCAACAACCTGCTAATGGTCTGGGAAAAATAGCAGAAGATGGCCCAAGTATTTGGGCTCCTGTCACCCACATGGGAGACCCAGAAGAAGCTCCTGGCTCCTGGCTTTGGCCTGCCGGAGCCCCAGGTGATGTGACCATGTGGGGAATGAACAGAAGATGGAAGATCCTCTCTTTCTCTGTAATTCTGGCTTTCAAAATAAATATATAAATCTTAAAAAAATGAAATTCACCTGCCACCTCTTGTTCGGACCCAGAGGACAAACTTCCCTCCCTCTGGAGAGAGCTGCTTCTGCCACCATCGCCACCTGACTGCAGGTGCTCTGCTTGCCGGCTGCAGCAGGTGGCCTGAGCTGAGAGGAAGGAAGAGCCTCGAGGGCACCCTGTCCAGCAGGGGCAGCAGCGAGGCCGGGGCAGGGCAGCCGGAGCCACACCGCGCCCTGGCCTTGGGCCCCGCCCAGGGTCAAAATAAAGCCCTGTGAGTTCCAGGTCTGAGTCGGGAAGGTTGGGAGAGGTCACAACACGCCCTCTGGAGAGAGTTAATTGTTGGAGGACATCACACCTGGGAGATCGTGGATCAGCCATCTCCTAAAGTTGCGTGTCCCTCTCATTTTTTTAAATGGCTGCATGAAATTTCAAGTTCAGACAGATCAAGCCATCATCCATCTAACAGTTCGCTTTCTAAAAAGGTTTATCCTGAAACCAGTAAGTCCCAATTCTTCTAGCACACCTGTCACAGCCCACGCCAGACAGAGTAGCACCTGTCCATGGGGCTCTCAGGCACACACACATCATGCACCTGTGCCGCCTCCACCAACCCCAGCCCCTCTGAGTGACCTCCCCCCACAGGCACCTGCTCCCCTCCAAAGAAACGCAGCGACTGCTTCAACACAGCATGTGGAAAGGAGTTGATTTTTCAGCTCATGTTCTGCAGTGTGGAGCTCATTCACCCCTCCCCCTCTCTGCGACATCAGTTGCCCCTCCACCTGGGCCATCCTCCTGGCCTCTGCAGTCCATCCTGCAGCCCCAGAGTCCATAAAGCATCCGATCCTTTACCAACCTGCCGCACCCTGGGGCTAGGCTGCAGGTTTCGGTCCATAACTATTTCCCAATAGTTCTGCTGACGCCGTTGGACCTCTGGGAGGAGTCTCCCTTGCCTTGTGCTAGGGCAAGAGATTCACCGTGAAAGATGACAGGGAAGGGAGGAGCACTGGCAAGGACCATCACAGATCGTAAGAAGGGTCCAGGGGCGGGTAGGCGTCCCCAGACTCTCGTGTCCCATCCCCCACGCAGTTGACACTGATGGCGTGTAGAAGGGGTGTGGTCCTGATGGTGAGGTTGGAAAGTGGCTAACACCCACTTCTGGAAGGGAAATGGAGTGACCTGGTGGGATGTCACTGTGGCAGCCACAGCCCCGGAGGGTGCTGGGGGGGAGGGAGTGCGTGTGTGTGTGTTGTTTTGCTGATTTGTTGAAGTTCTTTCTATTTTTTAAAGGATTTTATTTATTTATTTGAAAGGCAAAGTTACAGAGAGGCAGAGAGAGAGAGACAGAGGTCTTCCATCACTGGTTCACTCCCCAGATGGCTGCAAGGGCCGGAGCTGCACCAATCTGAAGCCAGCAGCCAGGAACTTCTTCCAGGTCTCCCAGGCAGGTGCAGGGGCCAAGCACTTAGTCCATCTCCCACTGCTTTTCCAGGCCACAGCAGAGAGCTGGATTGGAAGAGGAACAGCCGGGACTCGAACCAGCGCCCATGTGGGATGCCAGTGCTGCAGGCGGCAGCTTTACTCACTATGCCACAGCGCGGGCCCCCGAAGTTCTTTCTAAAAAGGAACAGCCCTTCCTTCCCTTGCCTTGGAAAATGAATGGGAGCCACACAAACCCCAGATGTCTCTTTGGTGTCACTGTGGCAACTATCTCACCAACACCACGTCTGCTTCCAGAGCACAAGGAGGTTTTAGAAATGAAGCATGACGGGGGCTGGCGCTGTGGCGCAGCAGGTCAAAGTCCAGGCCTGCAGTGCAGGCATCCCATACGGGCACCAGTTCAAGTCCCGGCTGCTCCTCTTCCGATCTATCTCTCTGCTGTGGCCTGGGATAGCAGTAGAAGATGGCCCAAGTGCTTGGGCCCCTGTACCCACATGGGGGTCCCCATGGAGGCTCCTGGCTCCTGGCTTTGGACTGGCCTACCTCTGGCTGTTGTGGCTGTTTGGAGAGTGAACCAGCGGATGAAGACTTCACTCTCTCTCTGGCTCTACCTCTCTCTGTAACTCTGTCTTTCAAATAAATAAAGTAAATCTTTAAAAAAAAAAAAAAGAAAGAAAAGAAAAGAAAAAGAAAAAAGAAAAGAAGTGTGACACCTGACTGCACACCCAGTGAGTCTCTGCTCCCAGCCTAACAGGCTCCCATCTCGCCCCTGCTCCAGTGTCAGACACAGGGGGGCGGGGCCTGCCCCTCAGGGAGGAAACTCCCACATGGACCCAGAGGTTGGAAAGGGGAGGAGAAAGTTGGCCTTAAGGAACTGAGCATCCCGCACCACTGTGGCGCCTCCAGGTACTGCAGGTGCACACACCGGGGCTCATAGGCCCACAGAGCCTTGGCCACCCAGAAGGGCCAGGGGCCTGGCCTGTGTAGGCGGCGGAGCACAAGGTCAGGTGCATCCACCCCATTTCCTCTCTGGTCTCCAAGAGACCCAAGCCGCAGCTCCCATTGCCCCAGGCCAGGTGAACAAGCCCCAGGGCTCCTGAACTGCATGGTCTGGGTCTTGTGTTAGCCACATCTCCTCCAAACATCTCTGAAACTAAGGAAGCCACCGACTCACCGCTGGATGTGGGAGAGCAGAAAGCCGAGAGTCCCCACCATGGAGCAGTTATCACTCGTAAGTTCCTTATCCCAGGGACACCAAACAGCAGGCGAATGAGAGATGCTCACTGTCCAGCTAAGCTGACACAGGGGAAGTCCTAAAAATGTGCCTCTTCCAATCGGCACCCGGGCAAGCTGTCCCTCCTCCAGCCTCACGGCCACCCTCCCCTGCGGTCGCGCCCAGCTGTCGGAGCCTCCACGGGGTGGCTGGAACCAGAGTGTCTCTGATCCCCCTCCTCCAAAACATTCTCACAGAAGCCGCCCAAGAGCACAAAGAGCCAACCAGAGGAGAGGGACAGAACGGGAGGCCCTGTCCCTGCCTCGGACGCAGGTGCAGGCGTCAGCAGCCACAGAGAGGCTGCCAGTGGATGCAGACCCCGGCGGGGACGCGCTCGACTTGTGAAAGACCCCAGGGTCTGAGGCCTTCCCTGGGGCTCCGAGGGGTGCTAACGGGCGCCTGACAGTGTCCAGGAGCTCTTGGAGCCCGGGGACGCTCCTCAGCCAGGTTCTGTTTGCTGGGACTGTCGTGGCGGTGGGCCAGCGTGGGGAAGAGTGTGTCTTGGCACTCAAACCGCACGCACAGGCAGGCGGCAACGGCCGTGAGCACAGAGGAGCTTAATGGAGTGGCGACGGGCACATTCCACCTGCCGGGCTCCGTGGGGTTGCCTCCCAGCGGTAGCGCTAGCTTGGATACATCCCATAAATTAACCCAACCATGAATATGAGCGCTGCCCGCCTCACCCCGCCACCCAGCCCTAAGGCCTGAAATGGCAGGCAGTGCTTGCTGGAGACTGGCCTGGAACATCCCGGGCGTGCCCACCCGTGGGCCTGCCCTCGTAAGAAAATAGATATAAATTCTGGGCGTATTTTGGAGAGACAACTGCTTGTGGTTCTACTCCCAAGTTATGGAGGCTGTGGCCAAGAGGCGGCTGGGCTGGGGGCTAGAGGTGGGGACTGAGGCTGTGGGATGCCTGCTCTGACGTTGCCATGGAAACCCTGAGTGAGGGGAAAAGGAGTGGAAATGGAAATGCCCCATCTACCTTGGAGGTCAACCAGCTTCTAGAGATGAAATTATCCCTGCACCAGTGTGTGGCAGAGAATGTGCCAGACGCCAGAGCCACGGTGCTCCCCTTGGTCTGTTCCAGCCCCCACAGCCGGGCCACCTGGCTGTGTTCTCACCTCTATCCTGAATGGTCACTGCTTTAACCTGGAGAAACTGGCAGGTGGCCGGGAGAGCACCTTGGTCAAACAAACTTGGGAAACGCTGCATGCGGAATTTTTAAAACTCCAAATAAAGTTCTGCAGCAGGCAAACCTACCTGACCTCCTTAGTCCAGTATTTCCCAAAATGTGCCTCCTCGGGCTACAGGAACACGCTCAGAATTTGCTCCCAGATGCCCAGCCTCAGGTCCGCCCGGAGACAGGCTGTCACGCATGGGCTAAAAGCCGTGGAAGGGTTGCACCCTCCGATAAGTCAGTGCCTGCTGTTTTCCACTGTGCTCCGGGCAGGACCGCGAGGCTGGGAGATACCTGTCTGCTGGACTGCCCAGGGCAGTCAGTGTCCCCTGCCCTTCGTCCTCGCTGGGCAAATCTAATTACAGAGCCCTGTTACACCCGCCCAGCTCCTCGGCACGCCGTCCGGGAAAGGGCTTGGCCATGCCTTGCAGGTTCTCACCCGGTGTTTGGGGCCAAGAAGTGACGCCACCAGAGTGCGAAATAACAAGGCCCTGATGGAGGTCAGATGTGAAGAAAGGCCGGAGGCCCCAAGGCAAGAGCCAAAGGTTCTGCAAAGGAATACCATCGCCGCGGAGAGGAGGGGCTGGAAGGGGCCTCCAGTTCTTTATCTTCTACACGCCGCAGGGTGTGTGTGTGTGTGTGTGTGTGTGTAAGAGTGTTTTCATAAGATGGATTACCAGTACCTCACTATTTTAGAAAAAGCAAATTTGGAAGCCTAAGTAAACAGGAAAAGAAGTTTCAGATTCGCATTTCAATTAACCAGTTGCATCCTACGTCTTTTTTTTTTTAAGATTTATTTTATTTATTTGAAAGACAGAGTTACAGAGAGAGGTAGAGACAGAGAGAGAGAGAGGTCTTCCATCCGCTGGTTCACTCCCCAGATGGCCACAACAGCTGGAGCTGCGCTGATCAGGAGCCAGGAGCCAGGAGCTTCTTCTGGGTCTCCCACATGGGTGCAGGAGCCCAAGCACTTGGGCCATCCTCTACTGCTTTCCCAGGCCACAGCAGAGCTGGATTGGAAACAGAGCAGCCGCCCATATGGGATGCCAGCACTTCAGGTCAGGGCTTTAACCCGCTACACCACAGCGCCGGCCCCATCCTACGTCTTTAATACAAGAATTGGGTCCTGCCCTGGAGGTGAGAGCCACAGTCTGCTTGCTCTGGGAACAGTTACAACCTAAGGTTCCACCCGAGCCCACCGCAGCTTCCCACACAGGCCCAGGTGCCCCTGCCTCCCAGGTTCTGTATCCATTTGAAAGGCGCATCTGGGGCCCTTGGCCTTGGAGCCAACCAACTCCTCCTCTGACCCTCCTGGCTCACCGGATGGAAACAGTGTTTCGCTCGCTGGAACAGCCCGTCCCAGGCCCGCGGATCCACCCTCGCTGGTGGTCCTTGCTCCGCCTCGCATCAGCATCACAGCACATCTCGTCTCCTTCCTGGGGCCGCAGGTTCAGGTTCACGGAGTTTGTCTTTGTCAGCGTTCTTTGCCTTGCAGACACCGGAAGACGCAGCCTAGCTTCCAAAGGGCGCTTACTATGGGAGTCCTGGCTGCGCTCACGGAGCCTGGAGCCGAGTTTGCTGGCAGCTTGCCCGAGAGCCCTAGCCTCGGCTCCTGTGCGCCGGCATGGGAGAGTTTCCTGGGGCTGCCAGAACAAAGCACCCCGTTCAGAGGCTGGGAGTGTGCGCTGCGGGGATCGCTCTGGGGGGCTCAGTCCCAGGCCGCCCAGCTCCCCCTGATGGCTGGCGATCTTTGGCATAACTTGGTTCTGTGCTCACGCCACCCCCATCTCTGCTTCCCTTCACACATTGCCTCCTTGTGTGCCTCTCTGCCTCCATTTTTCCCTTTAATAAGGACACCAATCGTATCGGATTAGGGGCCCACCCCTCTCACCCGCACTTAGCAAAAGGTTGCTACAACAACCCAAATAAGGTCACCATCAGAGGTGACCTTGGGGTTACCTTGGGGTGGGGTAATCCAATGTAACCCGCAAACCATGGGGTTGAAATTTTATTGGATGAAGCACCAGGAAAAAACAGTGTAGTTCTTCACTCTCTCCCCTTCTTCCTTCCTAAGCATGGATGTGATGCAGGAGGTAGAGCAGCCGTTTTGTCACAATGAGGACAAAAGCCTCCTGCTATAAACAAAGGAGGAAGAAGTCAGAAGCAGACTTTCTGGGGCCATTACACAGTCTGGACTGAATCCTTTTCACCTAAAAGTAAGAAAGAAAAAGAAAAAGATAAGCTTCTCTTTATTGAAGTCAGTGGTGCTCAGCCAGGAACAATTTCCCACCCCCACTAGACATTTGGCAATGAATGGAGACATTTTTTGGCTGTCACAAGGGAAGGTCCCAGGGGCAGAGCATCTGGTGGTGGGGAGAGGCAGGGGTGCTGACGAGCATCTTGTGGGGAACAGGACGTCCCCTCAGCCGAGAAGGACCCAGCCCAGAGTGTGGTAGGGCTGCTGGAAGACCTTGGCCCTGGTCACCGGTGACATATTTTGATACATGCAACCCAAACCCATGGAGCCGGCAGCACCGGAAGGGAGGCTGCGAGCAGGAATCCAACTGTGCTTCCTCCGGTTCTCCGGACAGCACCTCTCCCTTCGCGCTCTCTCTGCAGGCCTGGTCCATTCCTTTCTCTCTGCCAAACACAACATTCCTTCATCTCTTGACTTTATCTGTCCTAAGCCCAGGACACCTGTAGAGACTAATTTGTAGCTCTCATTCCGAATTCTTCGTTTCTGGGAAAACCGACTGGACTGGCTCATCTGGAGTTGGGTTCTGAATCAGCTGCCCGGGGCCAACACAGCTGCCCCGCTGTGGCTGCCGGGTCTCTGCCTAGGGGGTGGTGCGAGAGGCCAGCAAAAGCAATTTTCACCAAAACGGGGTCACTGGCCAGGAAGACGGCCCAGAGCCGGGATCCTCCAAAGGGGGGATCTTCCTCCGTGTTGGCTCCTTCCCGGCCCCTCGCTCAGTGCTTGTAAGCAGAAAGTAATCAGTAAACAAGTGAGGAGCGGTTAGGAGGACGGGGAAGTAGCACGATGCTCTATGACCCAGGGCTACGTCCTAGTGTGATTTATTTAGGGGGCCCCAGGGGTAGGGAAGACGGATTTCTCCAAGCAGGCAGCAGGTGGGAGACACCCTCCAGCCACAACCTCCGCAGGTCTACTTCCTACGCTGTGTTTGTCTGGGTGTCCGGAATTCTTTGACACTGCTGCACACAAGTTTATAGTCAGTGTATTTTGCTTTTTCAGATGAAGGTTTGGACCCACGGCTTTCCATTGAAGTTTTCCACCCAGGAAGGTGTCTGCGTTGAATGCAGATTATCTGCAAACAACTACCTTATTGTTTAAAGAGAACTCTGTCCAGTGCTTCCCAGCTTTGGGGCTCTTGGGAGACATCGTGACCCTTGGTTAAGCACCCACGTGGGGCCAGGGTGCTTCCTCCATATTCCCTAAGGCCCTGCTCACGCCACCCCTCAGAGGGCGTGCCGGGCAGTCCGGTGGTCAGGGCCCTGCTGCTTGACTGATGGGTTCACTGTGTGCAGCAGTCCAGCCCCGGGTGTTCCCCGCCGGGCAAAGGCTTCCTGCCCCAGCCCCTGGGGTGTGTGTGAGTTTGAGCCTGAACAGGAGCCTTCCACATCTCATGACAACCGGTGGCTGGAGTTCATTCCTGACGTGGGTCATGGAACAAGAGAATTTAGATGGCGGTCCTTTCCCAGGAACCACAGAACTTTAAGAAAAAAACCTCACCGTGTGGAGCCCCGTGCTGTGGCAGGCACCTCACCAGCACTGTCACGAAGACCCTGAAAGGTGGCGACTAAGATGTGCATCTTGCAAATCAGAGCTGGCTGTCACGGGGTTCATCGGTTTTCTCTCCCAAGGCCACACAACAAGTCGAGACGGGGCCAGTGTCTGAATCAGGGACCTGTGCCCCCCACAACCTCCCCACCCTTCCTTGCCAGGGACTCCAGGAAGTGCCGGCCAAAAATAGGCCATGCTGTGTGCTGCTTCCTTCCTCCTGGCCGAAGGGAACAGCAATGCGTGGGAGGGTTCTCCCCAGTTTCCTCTTTCTGATTAACAGTGTGTCCTCCGGCTACAGCCCCCTCCCTAGAACCCACGCCCACCAGGGCAGGGAGAGACTAGGACGCGATCTCTGGCCCAGACAGGCCACTCCCTGCTCCTCAGAGGACCTGTCCCTCTCCAGGATGGGTCCCTCTCCTGGGGCTGCTTGACTTTTCCCTCGACACCCCCCTGCTCGGATTTTTCCGCTACCCTTTGGCCCTACACCTGCACCCAGCTGGCATCTCCGTGAGTTCTAGGTGGCAACAGCCCAGAGGAGACCACAGCATCAGTTTCTGGTTGCGGAGTTTGGGCCCACTTCCCACAGTCCTGTTGATGGTCCCTGGAGGAACTGGCTGTGCACGGACCAGGGGGACACTGGAAGAGAGAGCACCTCTCAGGAACACTCAAACAGGTTCGCCAGCACCGCATCTCCTCTTCTGCTCCAAGTCCTGTGTTCAGACGAGCGGCCTAGGGAGCACTGCACCAGTAGGCTCCTCCTGGGTCCCACCCCTCGGCTCTCACAAGGAAATTCACGCCTCTGCGCATTCCTCCAGCGTTGGTCAGCAGAACCTGGCCCCTGGGGGGATCAGAACAGGGTCCTGGGCAGGCTGTGGCCGTAAGCTCTGCCTTCTTTAGAAATATTTATGCTTGGAGTCACCTGTGACAACACCAGCATCCCATGTGGATGCAGGTTCCTGTCCCAGCTGCTTTGCTGCAGATCCAGCTGCCTGCTGATGGCCTGGGAAAGCAGGAAGGGGAGGGTGGCCCAAGTGCTCGGGCGCCTGACCTGGGAAAAGCTCCTGGTTCCTGGCTCTGGTTTGGAGCAGCCCTGACCATTGCACAGTCTAGGGGGTGAACCAGTGGATGGAAGATCTCCCCCCCGCCCCGTAACTCTGACTTTCAAATAAATGAATAAATAAGAAATATCTATGCTGAAAGAAATTCTGCAAATCAAATCCTAAACTCATTAGAATTGACTCTATGCTGTTACATTCACTGCTGTGGTTAAACTTTAGAAAATGTAGAATCTTTTTGATAATTCAAATAAATGAATTTCAGGACCCAGGACACTGGCATCCCGATGTGAGTGCTGGTTGGAGTCTGGCTGCTCCACTTCTGATCCAGCTCCCTGCTAATGTGCCTGGGAAAGCAGCAGAAGATGGCCCACGTGTTTGGGCCCCTGCACCCATGTGGGAGACCTGGATGGAGCTCCAGGCTCCCAAACTCATCCTGGTTCAGCCATGACTGTTGTGGCATGAACCAGCAGATGGAAGCTCTCTCTCACTCGCTCTCTCGCTCTCTCTTTGTCACTCTGCCTTTCAAATAAATAAAAATTTTTAAAATAGACAAATTGCAGTTCGCCTCTGTCCTTCTACCTTTCCATACCATTCTTGGAGTGTTTAGAAGTGCAGCACGTTCACTTGCCAAAAGATTTGGCCAAAACCGAGTAGAAAACACCTACAGCAAACACGATCCGCCAGAATTCCTGGAGCTTCTAGCACCATCCAGAGCAAGCTGCCGCCTGTGCCATTCCTCCCTGAAGCGCTCAGGGCTCCGCAGGGGTGGGGTGGGAGGAGGAAGGCTCAGAGAAAGCCGGCGGCAGGATCTCCGCTGTGGCCATCGTCATGGCGTCCGAGGCAAGAAAGGCACCAGGTCCTGGCGGAGGGCAGAGGACAGCCTGCGCTTTTAGGTCCCAAGCCGCAGGTGTCTGCTGAGCTGTGAGGATGGGCACAGCCCTCCAGTGCTCTTTGCATGGGAATCCGCGGAATGCGAGGGTGTGAACCATTAGCTGCTCCGTATAATAACAAAGGGAAAAATTTCAGAACAACAACAACAAACACATCCTTAGGGAGCTGCGAGACTTAGAAAGATATTTCATTGACTTTTACGTTTCTTGCAGACCAAAGGGCATTCAAAGGCTTCCTAAAATGGGAGGCTCTTTGGAAAAGCATGACCAGCCTGGGGTTTCTGGTTGTAGCTACAAACGCTTTAAATAGCCCCGGGATTAATTATTCAGAGCAGCAGTCTTCCTTGAGGACTGAAACCGTGGGAAGAAAATACCAGGTGTTGGGACACGATGCCTTCCAAAGGCACCGGACATCTCATCGGGATCCATGCGGCCGGAGAGCGTGGCACGGACACCGCACGTGGAGGACGCGTGTCCAGGAGACGTCCTGGTCCTCAAGGAGCCCTCACAAAGACCTGCAGTGTTTGCCCTCAGCGGCTGGTCCAGGCCCGGGACGGCCAGGAAGGCTCACCCTGGCCCCGCATTCCGTCCCCGTGATCTGCCTTGCGGGGAACACACACCTGACACCAGGAGGCCTCTCCTCAGCGCCCCCAGGAGGCAGCACTCCACAGCGTGGAGCGGTGAAGAGAGGAATCAGTAGCTAGATTCATTTCCTTTTTTCATTTCCCCAAAGTGCACGTGGACTTGGCATGGGCGCTCCCAGCTTGGCCAGAAGCGGCTGACAAGCCCTGAGGTTTGGGGTGCCGTGGGCAGAAACCCAGAAAGCTGAAAGCTCCCAGGGACCTGGCCGCAACCGGTCTGGTGGCCACACCCTCCAACGATGGGGGATGGACGGTGGGGAGTGGACCCTGGGGTCCTTGCCGGGCCACGGACAGAGCTGGGGAGTGCGTGTGCCTGCATGTGTGCATGCCAGCTGGCCTGTGCACTCCAGCTTTGTGGCTTTGCTGTGGCGAAATGAAGATCCTGGGAGCACTTGTGTGCTCCTCTGCTGGGCATGCAGCCCTTTCTTTTCCTTGCCCAGTTGGCCACTAACATCTGGAGGAAGTGAGGCCGCGCTGGCTGATGACCTCATTCCCACTGCGCCTCAACATCCCCCCGCGAAGGGACAGGCTCAGAGGGAGGTCCGGCCATGGCAGGCTGACCAGGCTGGCCCCACACACCTCACTGTCAGGAGCTGTGGTTGCAGCTGGGCCCAGCTGGTGGGCACGGCCCTGAGACCAGAACCGAGACGGTGACAGAGGCTTCCTGTGATCCGGCCGTGGGACTCAGTCACCCAGCAGAATCAGCAAAACATCTACTACTATTGATGACGTTGGCCAAACTGAAGATAAATCGGGTTCTTTGTCTTGAACCAGTGATGATGACAAATGACTTTTATGAAATCAATAAATCAGTAGATCAATTGAGAGCCAATAATTCAGGACCCCCAGAGGCTGATCACAGCCACACCCTGCCACGGCGGGCGAGGTCAGCTCCCCGCGAGACAGCCCCTGATCCCTCCCCTCTGCCCTCCGTCCTTTGGTCCCAGAGGAGACAGAAGCAGGCTGCACGTCAGTTCAGGAGGAGCCCTGGGCAGTGTCGAAGGGCAGGCGTCACGGATAAAGCCCTTCCGGCACCGCCTCTCCTGCCAGCCCATGCTTCCAGGTCGGTGTAGTCACCGCCTGGCAGATCAGAAGCTTCAGGTGCCTGTGGGCAGCCCGGGAGCTGGCTCTGGGCAGCAGCAGGCGGGGTGCTGCGTGTGGCTGCGCTCCTATCCACTGAGGGCCTGGTGTCCCACAGCCAAGGTACCCAGCTGCCCAGGGGCTGGGAGGCCTGCAGCCTGGGAATCACCTCCCTGCACCCCACCCTGCTCTCAGCCCCGCACCTGCTGCCTCCTGGGAAGGAGCCTCCCCACCGCTGCTGGCTGGTGCACACACACAGCACCCGAGTGGACACACACACACGTGCACACACATGGTTACACACAGCACATGCACAAAGCACACATACACACTCGTGCACACAAACATGCGCACTCACACACAGACATACAGAAACCCACAATCACCCAGACACTCCCGCAGACGGCACCAGGCCCCAGCCTGGCAGAGCTCAGCGAAGGCCGCAGGTGGCCTTCTTCCTTTGCTGGCTCGAACCCGGGCCTGCCCCGCCCTGTCGCAGGCTCGCATCTCAAGGCAGGGATCCACAAACCCCACGTGCTTTCGCGTGAACTCAGCGGGAGAGACTGCAGGCCGGCGCCAAGCCGTGACGGCACTGGAGTAGGCGCAAGCCCTGTGCTCTGACAAGGGCCTTCGCTGAAGAGACGCCGACGCTTCCGGAAGCTGCGAGGAGTTTGGTGAGAGTGGCAGCTGTCCTGTCGTCCAGGAAGAGAAGGAACAACCAGGACCTGTTTTAGAGCCTCTGTCTGCAGACGGGTAGGTCTGTGAAGTGTGGTTTACCAGGTACAAGCCGTGCTCTGGGAAGGGAAGCGCTTTGTGAAGACGCCCAGATGAGGGAACCGTGCAGAGAGAGAGCTGCGTGGTGTCTCTGCACAGGCGCCTCACGGGGACTTGGGTAAGCGTCAGGCTGGGCACGCCACCCGCAGCCTCAGCCGGGGCACAGGGCCAAAGGCCACATGGGCGCTGAATGAGCCGATGCAGGCCCAGCCACCTGGGGCACGACACGGAGGAAGGTGTCCTACCAGAGGTGGGCCCAGGGACACCACGGGGTCGGCGTATGAAACCACCAACTGTGCAGAGTAGCACCAAACCTGGTCAGGCAGCAACCCACTGGAGACAGTCCAGCATGAAGGGGACACACTTAGCAAACTGAAGCATGAGTGTTCTATAAAGATTTATTTATTTATTTGAAAGGCAGAGTTATATATAGAGAGACAAACAGAGACAGACACAGAGAGACAGAGAGACAGAAAGGTCTTCCATCTGCTGGTTCACTCCCCAGATGGCTGCAATGGCTAGAGCTGGGCCCATACAAAGCCAAGAGCCAGGAGTTACTTCGGGATCTCCCACATGAGTACAGGGGCCCAGGAACTTGGCACAGGAACTCCCAGGCACATTAGCAGGGAGCTGGATCAGAAGTGGAGCAGCCGGGACTCGAACCAGTGCCCAAAAATATTGTTTTCACCTGGGCAGTCATTGTGTTCAACAAACATTTTGTCAAGCTATATAGGGAAAAAGTTGTTTAAATAGCACTTTAGCAAACCCCATGTAAATAAACAACAAGTTGTTAAAAAACACAGAGCCTGAATCCAAAACAACTTATACTCACATAAAATACGGAAAACAGAAATGCCAGAAACAGAAGAAATAACGTTCTTTATAACTGCTCATAAATGTCAAGGAGCTGCTAAAACAGCTGGAGTGACACGGAGTCATGCAGAGGATCGGATTCGAAAGCTTCCTAAAGGGGTGGATGAGAGGTGAGAGGGAGGAAGGGAGGTGGAGAGGCCAAAGGGAAGGTTTTGCATGAAGCCAGCTGGGAGGTGCAAGTGCCCAGACGCAGGGACCAGGTAGCCGGGAAGTCAAGAGGAAGAGGGAGGCTGGGATTCATCTCTGTGCTGGACAGAAAGGCAGATGGGTGGGACTGGCAAAGTCAAGACTGAGAGCTGTAGATTTTATTTGAAAGGAAATTGGAGGCAGATGGTCCAATGGCCAGGGGGAGGCCTTGTGGGGCCACAGGTCGAGGGAGTGGGCAGAGGACTTGCTCACAGGGTCCTGGGGCTTGAGATCACCTGCTGTGTGGGTGGAAAATGGGGAAGAGCTAAGGGAAGCAAGCCCCCTGGCAGGTGAGAGACTGGCTGAGTCCTCGAGAGAGGCAAGGGGACTCCCAGGTGACCCACACATTCTTCATCTAGCTGCCAGGGAGAGGGGAGTCTGACCACAGATAAACAAGGAAAGATTACAGCAGGGGGAAACACAATGTGGACCCTGGATGTTGGCAGGGTTAGCCTGGAATATCGGTGGGTTTCTAAGCAGGAACTGCCCACCAAAATAAAAGAAAGAATGGCTGAGCTTGGTGGGGTTGAGTGTGGAGGAATTCAACATATTGTGTCCTGGAAGTAGACACACCCTCCTGCCATGACTAGAAGGACATTGGTGCTTCAGCTTCTAGGATTCGAAGCCCAGGCTGGGTGCCACCTGCCCACACGTGGGAAGATCGGTGGTCAGCCTGATTCTGTCAAGACACGCTGGGTCTTGGCGTGAACCCAGCTGACAAGAGGTCACGGTGGGCATTGTAGCATCCTTGTTCTTGTCCTATTGGGCACTTAAAAAAAAAAAAAGGTCACTTATTTTCCTGTCTGTTCTTTTTATTTGTCAATAACTGGGGAGGAATAATCTTAGACACGGAGAATAGTTGCAGTGACACTACATTTCTTGTCTACTCTGTGACAGTTTTTCAATCTGCCCTTGTTTTTGATGACCTTGACAATTTTTAAGACGATATATGTCAGTTCTTTTGTAGAATGTCCCTCACTTTGTTTGTTTGTTGTGTTTTGTTGATTTTTTTTCATGAATAGACTGCACTTGGCCGGGTTGGGGAAGAGGATCGCAGAGGAAGAATGCCACGCCTCTTGTCAGACCCATGCAGTCTGGGCGATTTATCACCGATGGCACAAACCTTGCTCACCTGGCCTAGGTGGTGTTTGCCAGGCCTGTCCATTGCAAAATCCCTTGGTTCCCCCCCCCCCCAACACTCTATTCTGGAAGCATGTCAGTGAGCCCAGCGGCTCTCAGGGTTGGGGGTGAAATTACACTCCAGGTCTTGGATGGGGAATCGTCAATGTAGATTACAGTCATGCAACACGGAATGACCTTTCGGTCAACAGCAGACCGTGTGCAGGATGGCAGGGTCGTAAGATTCCACTGCCTTGTCATGTCATAGCCACTGGAGTCGGGGCAGGCACACTACGATGTCCCCACAGCGGTGAGGTGGCGTGACGACACAGTGTTCAGGATGTGTTGTTGTGGTGGGAAGATACGTGGCTGTATTTGGAATTCTGTGAGAAATATGGGTCCCTTCTCTCCCGTTTATTTGATCATTTATTGGTGTCAACACGGACTCATGTGTATTTATTTTATATCATGAGTTACAATGCAGTACTACATTATTTACTTTTTTGCTCAAATCTTTATGGCTTTGGCCACTGGGAGCTATTTGGGTTTGATTCTCGTGTTCCTTTGATGCATCCCATCCCTTTGCTATTTGAGCATTTCCTCCATTTTTGCTACTACAAGACACTGCAGGCCATCTCCTGTTTTCCCTGACCCAACCCTGGAAGAAGTCGTCTCTCCAACTGGAGGATTGGATTAGAGACCCAGATGCGGACCCAGGACAAGCGTGCTGCTGCTGGAATGTCACCACTTCAGGCCCTCTCAGCAGACAGGCAAGGGAACACGCACACCGGTGCCAGCTAGCATACAAACACAAATACATGGCTGTTCTTTAAAAAAAAAAAGTTTGTTTCATTTGAAAGTCAGAGTTACAGAGAGAGAGAGAGAGAGAGAGAGAGATCTTCCATCTGCTGGTTCACTCCCCAAATGGCTGCAATGAACAGGGCTGGGCCAGGCTGAAGCCGAGCCTCACCTGGGTCTCCCAGGTGGCTGGCAGGGGCCCAAACACTTGGGCCATCTTCCATGCTCTTCCAGGCCATTAGCAGGGAGCTGGACCGGAAGTGGAGCAGTCAGCATAGACACTGGTGCCCCTCTGGGATGTCAGCATCTCGGGCAGCAGCTTTACCTTCTGTGCCACACCACTGGCATGATTATTCTTGTATCCGTCTCTCAAACACAAACATTAATTCACGCTGACATCTCTGACCCAAGTCCAGCAGCCGTTCCCTTTCCATATCTGCCCCTCTTTGACAGCAAGAGAGCTAGTTCCCAGAACCCATCGTTCATTGACTTATCCACGCCATCCCAATGCACATGCTTCAAAGCTGTTGGCCAGCACCCTCTTGAACTCTTTTATCTGCGTTTTTGACACACAAATTGTTTATGTATTAACTTAGTGCACAGCAAATGCTCTAGAAGACATCAAGGCACACGAAAGAATTGAGACTCAAAAAGATGCTAGAACCAGCTAGAATAATGAATCTAAGTAAAAATAAAAATTACGACACAATACACAATAATTCGATGTTTAAAAAGTGACATGAATAACAAAGCAGAGACCAGGCTTACCAGCAGGTTCATGTGAGAGGGGGAGAGGGGTGGCGCGACCTGGTTGACCACAAGCTCAGGGTATGACGGTGTTGCTAAACAGAACCACAGATGAAAATAGAACATCCCAGGAAAATGCTCTCTGGGCTGGGCACAAGGCAGACAAGCTCTCCGCAGATGCAAACATTTATATCCATCCTTTAAAAAGTACATAGGGAGAGGGATAGGATCACACTCTTAAAATACTTCCAGGGATTAGATGTACCCTGGGCCGCTCCAGAGGACAGGTCTAAGACCAGCAAGTCCAATGATCATTCCTGACCTGGTGGAGCTGAACGAGGGTAGTGCCAATGACCTATCCCGTAGGCTCTGATGTGGAGGATGGCGCATTGTTGGCACAATTAAGATCCATGAGGCTGGAGGGCAACACTAGAAGTCGTATCTAAAGAGAGTGACAAGGAAAAGCTGGCAAAGGGAGCCCAACTGGGCTGCTAATGACAAAGCCCAAGTGAAAAATGCAGATGAAGTGGGGAACCAGAGCGAGGGTTGGTGGGGGACCAGGAAAGCTGACATGAAGTAACACTTTTCGTCCCACTTTCTGTCCTATGCCAGTGCACTGTTTGCCTTCCCTCCCAGTCCTTTTGAGGGGCACAGAGCAAAATGGCAAAGTTAGGACAGGAAGAGGGAAGCAAAGCTTGTTTGATCAGGATGGCTTTCTAACAAATGGAGTTGTCCCAAAATGGAACATCATTCCTGTCAAGAGACAGTTTCCAACAGAACCGGTCAGGCAACAGCAGTGGGTGGCTGCTGATCACTGTCTGGACATGCCAGGACCACAAAGGAGTCACAGAACCTTGGGGTTCTGTCGGGCTCAGAGGGTAATTGACCAGGCTGAGCTGATGGGGTCCCAGGGAAGTAAATAATAGATATTCAAGATGCCTGGAAGAAATAGCAAGCACAGATGCCATACAATAGTGGAACCCATGAATGTGGCATTGCAAGTTGTGTTTCCAATTTACACATTCAGTGTAATCTCAATCAACATACGAATGACATTTTTCTCAGATCTAGAAAAAACAATGCTAAAATTCACATGGAAACACAAGAGACCCCAAACAGCTAAAGCAATCTTAAACAACAAAAACAAAGCTAGAGGCATCACAATACCAGATTTCAAGACATACTACAGGGCAGTTACAATTGAAACATCCTGGTGCTAGCACAGAAATAGACATGTAGACCAATGGAACAGAACTGAAATCAATCCACACATCTACAAGTAACTAATTTTTGACAAAGGAGCTAAAGACAATTCCTGGAGAAAGGAGAGTCTCTTCAACAAATGGTGTTGGGAAAATTGGATCTCTGCATGCTGAAGAATGAAACAAGACCCCTACATTATCCATTATACAAAAATCAATGTAAAATGGATCAACAATCTAAATCTATGACTTGATATCACCAAATTGCTGCAAGAAAACATTGGAATTCTGCAAGACATTGGCATAGGCAAAGACTTCTTGGAAAAGACCCCAGACTATGAAAGCAAAAATAGACAGATGATATTCCATCAAACTAAGAAGCTTTTGTACCACAAAGGAAACACTTCAGCAAAGTGAAGAGGCAATCAACAGAATGAGAGAAAATATTTACAAACTATGCAACTGATAAAGGATTATTATCCAGAATCTATAAAGAGCTCAAGAAACTCAACAACAACAAAACAAGCAATCCAGTTAAGAAATGGGCAAAGGACTTAAACAGGCATTTTTCACAATAGGAAATTCAAATGGCCAAATGACACATGAAAAAATGCTCAAGATCACTAGCCATCAGGGAAATGCAAATCAAAACCACAATGAGATTTCTCCTCACCCCAATTACAATGGCTGTCATAAAGAAATCAACAAGTAATAAATGCTGGCAAGGATGTGGGGGAAAAGGTTCCCTAATCCACTTATGGGAATGCAAACTAATACAGCCATTGTGGAAGACAGTATGGAGATACCTCAGAAAGCTGAAAATAGATATACCATATGACTAGTGAAATAAGCCAGCCCCCAAAACACAAATAGCATATGTTTTCCCTGATCTGTGGTAACTAATAGAGTACCAAAAATGTACCACATAGGAGTGAAATTGGTATTTCGAAATTTGATTATTATTTTTAAGATTTATTTATTTATTTGAAAGGCAGAGTTTCAGAGAGGCAGAGGGAGAGAGAGAGAGAGAGAGAGAGAGAGAAAGATCTTCCAACCGCTGGTTCACTCCTCAGTTGGCCACACCAGCCAGAGCTGTACTGATCTGAAGCCAGGAGCCAAGAGCCCATTCCTGGCCTCTCACATGGGTGCAGGGGCCCAAGGACTTGGGCCATCTTCTACTGCTTTCCCAGGCCATAGCAGAGAGCTGGATCGGAAGTGAAGCAGCCCATATGGGATGTCGGCACTGCAGGCGGTGGCTTTACCTGCTACGCCACAGCACCAGTGCCCCCACTCTTAATTTTTACAAAGATCTCTTTTCAGTTTACTTGATGATCATAAAGTTAACCCTACACTAAGTAAAAGAGTTCAACAAATATGAAGAAACAAAACAATATTTCTCAATGGTAGAGACAAGGGCTGTAATAATCATCAAATCTCAAAATGTCCATTTCTCTCCAATACATTACATCAACTTTACACACATACAATGGATATACTTTTTTTTGTAATTAAACAGTTTTTAGAAAAAGACCACTCACTAAATTAACCCAGGGCTCCGGAGCTCTAACCCTGGCTGGGTCATTGACTCCCTGTGGGACCTCCGTAAGTCACTGGCGTCCCTGACCTTGATTTCTGCATCCATAAAGCAGACTGGGCCAGAGTTTTGCTAAGGTCTCAGCCAGCTCTACATCTTTTAAGAGGAAGGGTCTATCCCTGAAGACAAGTGACCCAAGTGGTACTTTCCTAGGACGTAACTGAGCCCCCTCTCCTGGCCTGCAAAAGTCCCTTTAACATCTCTGTTAGCAAAGGGGAAATGGATTAAAAACTGTAAGACAGTGGTTAGCACCTGAGTCCCCACTGGGGACACAGCTCGAATAGTGGAGGTGAGGAGAGAAAACATGAATGGGCTCCAAGTGTAAATATAAAGGAGCCAAAGGTGTCACCTTAGATCTATCCCAGCACTCCACGGCGTGGGCTGGAGGCGAGGCCAGACCAGACGTGACGTCTGTGTGAGCTGAGAAAGGAAGCCAGCTCACAGAGGCCTGCGCTATTTTGGTTTGCGCATGGGAAGACATCTGTCATGGGATAGTACGCTCTGCAGGCGCCTGGAACAACACGTGGCTAGATACACTCTCAGGTTGGGGGGAATCCAATCTGAAATTAACGTGCACACACATGAGGGTACTTTCCAAAGTCCGGGGGAAAGTGGACTTGAAAGATATAATAATTTTGGTGCAAAAAAAAATTGGAAATTCATGCATAGTACCCGTGTTCCGCAGACTTTCGGAAGACCCCTGCTACGTGTCATTCGTGGAAAGGTTAAAGTTGATGCCTGGAGGGTGTTGCCCATGGGAGAACAGGGCTACGTGGGTAGTGAATTCTAGAGAGGGAAATTCTGTCTTCTCTGAGTGGGAGCTGGCTGCAAGCACAGGGTTGAGCTGCAGTCAATTCTGAGCGTGAAAGCCTTGACTGAGGGCTGTGAGGTTTCACACAGCCCTGTCCACCAGCCCTCCCCACCTTAGGTTCCCAATGAGCTATGGACTGAAAATATCTGGGGGAACAGGAGGGTATCTGTACTAAACAAGGACAGACTTTTTGTCTTGTCACTGTCCCCTAAGCAAATCAGTGCAGGAACTGTTTACATAGCACACACATTGTATTGGGTATTATAAGCACTCTAGTGGTGATTTAAAGTATACCGGAGGCACCTGCGCTGTGGCGTAGCAGGTAAAGCCGCCGCCTGCAGTGCCAGCATTCCATATGGGCGCTGGTTTGAGTCCCAGCTGCTCCACTTCTGATCCAACTCTCTGCTGTGGTCTGGGAAAGCAGTAGATGGCCCAAGTCCTTGGACCCCTGCACCCAGGTGGGAGAGCAGGAAGAAGCTCCTGGCTTTGGATTGGCTCAGCTCTGGCCATTGTGGCCAATTGGGGAGTGAACCCGCGGATGAAGAACCAAAGCCGGGAGCTGGGAGCTTCTTCTGGGTCACCCACGCTGGTGCAGAGAGGGACCTCTGCCTCTCCTCACTCTGTAACTCTATCAAATAAGTAAATAAATCTTTAAAAAATAAAGTATATAGGAGGGATCTGATGTTTGGTCCAGCAGTTCAGACACTGCTCGGGCTGCCTGCACCGAATGTCAGAGTGCCTGGGTTTGAGTTCAGGTTCCACTCGGGATTCCAACTTCCTGCTAACACGCACCCTGGAAGGCAGCAGGTGGTGGCTCAAGTAACTGGGTACCTGCCACTCTTGTGGGAGACCCACCTTAAGTTCCAGGATCCTGGCTTTGGCTTGGCCCAGCCCCAGGCACCGTGGGCATTTAGGGAGTAAACCAGCTCTGTGTGTGTGTGTGTGTGTGTGTGTGCGCGCACGCGCGCATAGTTACATGCAAACTCTACACTCTCTTATGCAAGGGACTTGAGCATCTGTGGGTTTGGTATCCACGGGCGTCCTGGAACCAGATCCCAGTGGATAAGGAAAGACCATTGTAGGCGATTTCCACAGCAGAATATCAAGTTCTAGAAGCGCTTCTCATAGGCAGCTCTGGAAGAAATGGGCCACAGGGCAGGGTCTGGTCCACAGTTCCCGGGGCGATCTACACTTCACGCTCTCAAGCTTTCCCAGAGGCCCTGGGACAGACCTGGCCTGGGGATCAGATCTGATTTTCAACCTTAACTACAGGACACAATATGACATGAGCAAAGTCGCTTAGCCTCTCTGTGTCTCATTCCAGAGATATAATCTGGAAATTCCATGGCTTGAAAGTCCAGGCTATAATGCTTTACATTTAAACATCTGCATGTTTAAATGCTTCAGCTATGGCACCTGCATTAGACGTGGACACAGATAATTAAATACCTCACTACTCGGCTGTAGAAGGAAGGAAGGAAGGCCAGGCAAGACTCCAAGACCCATCGCAGTCCCTCGAAAACTTTGAAGGAACAAGCAAAGTTCAGCAACCCCAAACTGGAGACTTTGATTTACTGTCACTGAACAAGTTGAAAAATCCTAGTAAGAGACACTTGAACCTTTTAAGTATCATCTTGTGGTAATGATGACCTCTCATGCATATTTATGCACTTAGCTTTATAATAACCACTTGAAAGGCTTGGATTTCCCCCTAGGGAATGAGCTATGTGAAGTGTAACAAAATATTCCAAGTTCAAAGGTCCAAAT